AAAAATATAGAAATAATACTGACAGCCAAAATATCACTGATTCGGCATCGAATGACTCTTGAAAAAAGCCTACTCTTACTCCGTTTCCAGATTGGCGTCGCCGAGCCACGAGAAGTTGAGTGCGCAGTCGTCATTCTGACTAAGTCCCAAAAGAGAAACCTGGTAACTAGCAATGAAAGGGAGGATAAGAGAGGAATCGAGTAAAAGGTTAACAAGGTTATTGAATTGGGAATCAGTCAGATAAAAAGTCATTGAAATACAAAAGCTAATTTGCATTAAACAGAGTGGATTTTAAGCCAGTTTAGTTTCGAAAGAGTCCAAGGCTTTGGTGAAGAAACACTTAAGTCGCACACTCACATTTTAGGTGAATTCAATCTAAGATACTTAGAGAGGTTACTCGAAACCGCAAGGAGCCCGATAGGATAAGGTTATAAAAGGTACCACTGCGATGTGCCCTTGCCCAAGGCCTTTCGCACGCACCTTGCAATTGTTCAGTTTTCTCTCTTTCGTAAAGACATCTCAAACTTACCCCTGTATAACGAAGAGAACTCGAATTCGTGGTTCTAAGCACTTTCGACACCTAAAGATTACTTACACGCGAGCAAGCATTTCTGAAGAAAGATCGAGAATGTTTACTTTGATGCAATAACTCTTCTGCACGATGACGTCACGAACTGAAAATTTATCCCCGAGCCCCGTTTACAGTAAATTTACTTGAATCGTTGCCACTTTCTTGTTACTTTCTACAGCGTATTCTTTTGATTTTATCGGGGAATACTTTTTGGGTAAGTGATTTCATTACTCTATGAAGAGCTAAAGGGTGAATTGTGCATTCCAATGCAAACATGCAGAACGCCTATGTACTTTCCCTTCCCCCTTTTCATTTGTTTCTTTCTATCCATTCGCACGATTACTCACCCTGCGCGCTACTAGACTCCATTAAGGCCAATAAATCATTGATTCTTAGTTGAGATTTTAAGGTCCTAATTTATAACTGTGAGTTACATGGATTAAAGAGACCAACTTCCTAAAAAACAAAGCGGCATCTTTCGGTGGTCAGTAATGACAGAAATCTCTTGAACACTTGCAGATGTGACAGGTGTATAGCTCGTATTCTCAAAAGGCTAAAACAAAGGATGTTTGGTTTTTACGCAGGGTAAGCTCAGTGGCTTCGCCCTAATGAAGCGCTAACGCTCGAAACGCCAGCTTTAGAAACTTGTTACGCTGGCCAATATACGTTATCAACTACTTTAGCTTCATTTTATTAAGTCAAATTATATGAGGTGATTG